TAATTTTTTTGGATGTCTCATAATTCTTTTTTAATATATATATTTTTATTAAGATATTACATATGTGTCCTTATCCCCTCATTACCCCCTATCCCCCTGCTCATTCCCTCACCCCTCTGTTGTCTGTGTTGATTGGTTAGGCCTATATGCTTGCATATAAGTCCTTTGGTTGATCTCTCCCCCTTACCCCTACCCTCACCTACCATCCCTCCAAGGCCTGACAGTCCAATCAATGCCTCTCCATCTCTGGATCTGTCCTTGTTCATCAGTTTATGTTGTTCATTATATTCCACAAATGAGTGAGATCACGTGGGATTTATCCTTCTCTCACTGGCTTATTTCACTTAGCATAATGCTCTCCAGTTCCATCCATGCAGTGGCAAATGGTAAGAATTCCTTCTTTTTTACAGCAGTGTAGTATTCCATTCTATAGATGTACCACAAATTTCTAATCTGTTCATCTGCTGATGGGCACTTAGGCTGTTTCCAAATCTTAGCTATGGTAAATTGTGCTGCTATGAACATAGGGATGCATATATCCTTTATGATTGGTGTTTCTAGTTTCTTGGTTTATATTCCTAGAAGTGGGATCACTGGGTCAAATGGGAGTTCCATTTTTAACTTTTTGAGAAAACTCCATACTGTCTTCCATAGTGGCTGCACCAGTCTGCATTCCCACCAGCAGTGCACGAGTGTTCCTTTTTCTCCACATCCTCTCCAGCACTTGTCGTTTGTGGATTTGTTGATGTTAGCCATTCTGACAGGTGTGAGATGGTACCTCATTGTTGTTTTGATTTGCATCTCTCGGATGATTAGTGACTTTAAGCATGTTTTCATATGTCTCTTGGCTTTCAGAATGTCCTCTTTTGAAAAGTGTCTATTTAGGTCCTTTGCCCTATTTTGATTGGATTGTTTATCTTCCTTTTGTTAAGTTGTAAGAGTTCCCTATAAATGTTGGAGATTAAACAATCAGTGATAACATTGGCAAATCTGTTCTCCCATGCAGTGGGCTTTCTTGTTGTTTTGTTGATGGTTTCTTTTCCTGTACAAAATGTTTTTATTTTGATGTAGTCCCATTTGTTTATTTTCTCTTTAGTTTCCAATGCCCTAGGAGCTGTATCAGTGAAGAAATTGCTTCAGCATATGTCTGAGATTTTGTTGCCTTTGGATTCCTCTAGTATTTTTATGGTTTCCTGTCTTACATTTAAGTCCTTTATCCATTTTGAGTTTATTTTTGTGTATGGTATAAGTTGGTGGTCTAGTTTCATTTTTTTGCATGTACCCGTCCAATTTTCCCAGCACCATTTATTAAAGAGACAGTCTTGACTCCATTGTATGCTCTTGCCTCCTTTGTCAAATATTAATTGGTTCGGGTCAATTTCTGGGTTCTCTATTCTATTCCATTGATCTATCTGTCTGTTCTTGTGCCAGTACAAGGCAGTTTTGAGAACAGTGGCTCTGTAATACAGCTTGATATCTGGTATTGAGATCCCTCCTACTTTGTTCTTCTTTCTCAGGATCGCTGCAGCTATTCGGGGTCTTTTTTATTGCAGATGAATTTTTGGAGAGTTAGTTCTAGGTCTGTGAAATATACCGTTGGTATTTTAATGGGGAGTGCATTGAATTTATAGATTGCTTTGGGTAGTATGGACATTTTAACAATGTTGATTCTACCAATCCATGAATATGGTATGTTCTTCCATCTGTTTATGTCTTCCTCTATCTCTTTTTTCAATGTCCTGTAGTTTTCAGCATATAGGTCTTTTACCTCCTTAGTTAAGTTTATTCCTAGGTATCTTAATTTTTTTGTGCAATGGTAAATGGGATTGTTTTTTTAAATCCCTCTTTCTGTAAGTTCATTGTTGGTGTATAAAAAGGCCATTGATTTCTTGGCATTAATTTTGTATCCTGCTACATTGCTGAATTCATTTATTAATCCTAATAGTTTTTTGATGGAGTCTTTAGGGTTTTCTATGTACAGTATCATGTCATCTGCGAATAGGGACAATTTTACTTCTTCTTTACCAATTTGGATACCTTTTATTTCTTCTTCTTGTCTGATTGCATTGGCTAGCACTTCCATTACTATGTTGAATAGGAGTGGTGAAAGCAGACATCCCTGTCTTGTTCCTGTTTTTAAGGGAAATGGTTTTAGTTTTTGCCCATTGAGTATGATGTTGGCTGTAGGTTTTTCATATAAGGCTTTCATTATGTTGAGGTATGATCCTTCTATTCCCACTTTGCTGAGCGTTTTTAATCAGAAAAGGGTGTTGGATTTTGTCAAATGCCTTTTCTGCATCAATTGATATGATTATGTGATTTTTGTCTCTCAGATTGTTTATATGGTGTATCACATTTATTGATTTGCGGATATTGTACCAGCCTTGCATCCCTGGAATAAATCCTACTTGGTCATGGTGTATGATCTTTCTGATGTACTGCTGGATCCGGTTTGCTAGAATTTTGTTGAGGATTTTAGCATCTATGTTCATGAGGGATATTGGCCTGTAATTCTCTTTCTTTGTGGTGTCTTTATCTGGTTTTGGGATTAGGGTAATGCTGGCTTCATAGAAAGAGTTTGGAAGAACGAGCTCTGACGCACCCTAAGTGGCCCTGCGTTGAAATTGTGGGACAGTGTCTATTGCAGTGATGGAGAACCTTTTGAGCTCGGCGTGTCAGCATTTTGAAAAACCCTAACTTAACTCTGGTGCCGTGTCACATATAGAAATTTTTTGATATTTGCAACCGTAATAAAACAAAGGTTTATATTTTTGATATTTATTTTATATATTTAAATGCCATTTAACAAAGAAAAATCAACCAAAAAAATGAGTTTGCATGTCACATCTGACACGCGTGTCATAGGTTCGCCATCACTGGCCTATTGGAAGTTATTCAGGAAGAGTGAATTCAGAATTTCTCCTGTGGGGCAGTGCACCCATATTTGCACAATATCGCACTCAGCGAGGCTCGCAGTGGCTCCCCAGATCTGCCTGTGGGTTGGTGGGCTCCAGGTGCCTACCTGTAGGAAATCACGGCTCTGGCGGTGTGAGCAGAGCTCTGATGCACCCTAAGGGGCCTCCCCGCGTTGAAATTGTGCGACAGTGTCTATTGGAAGTTATTCAGGAAGAGTGAATTCATAATTTTTACTGTGGGGCAGTGCACCCCTGTTTGCACAATATCGCACTCAGCAGGCGCTTGCAGTGGCTCCCAGGAGCTGCCTGTGGGGTGGTGGGCTCCAGAGGCTTGCAGGCTAGAAATGCAGGAATGTGGTGCCCGCTGGTCTGCCCGCTGGGGAGGGGGGGGCTACACTCACTGCTGCCGTGCGGTGATCCTTTGGAGGTGGAGTGGAGGTCCCAGGGTCTGCGAGTCTGCGGGTGGGGCAGCAGGACCTTGGCTGGCATGGCTGCTGGGTCGCGGGCAGTATCCCAGGCCTGTCTGGGTGGTGCTGTTGATAAGTTCCTAGATGGCCGCTGTCCCCTTCAGGATGGCGTGGGCTCCGTGCCCTAGTCCCGCAGTCCGGGGAGTGCCCACAGTGGTAGTAGTCTCTCCCTGTCCAGGAGAGTCTGGTCTGCCAGCCCCTGGTACGCCTGTCGGATTTAACTGTCCCTCACTCACTCACACACACACCACACGCATACACACTCTCCCTTCACCCTCACTCACTCACATCCTCTCCCTCACCTCCGTCCTGCCAGCCGCCATCTTCCAACCTCCTCAATAAATAATTGAGTTTTATTTATATTCTTCTAAATAAGCAATTTCCTTTATAGAGCTTTCGATATGTAGGAATAAACAAAAAAAACATTTATGATTATGTGACAGTACACACACTTTCAAACACCAACACAGGTACAAAACCCGGTCCCCTTGGGGCATACTCTAAATTACCAGTTTAATGTTGTCCTCACAGGGTGGAGCAAGGGAGTGCCAAGCTGGACGCTTGCCTCGGTTATAGAGCTTGATTATAAGGCAGCAGAAAGTGCCAAGCCTTTAGAGTCAGTTGGCAGTTCTCTTACTGGAGAACCAATTAAATAAATTGTTTTGGATTGTCCTTCCTAAATCATAACTTCCATAAATACTTAGACAGGGAACTGATTTGTAAGATTTATTTGAAATAATGTAAGTCAACAGTTTATACATTTCACCAGGAGTTGGTTACATTTTCAACATCTTTTCTTTAAAAGTAAATGACTTCAATGTAGGTCTCACAACTTTACACGAGGAATTATAAGAAGGTTTCATCACAACGCGTGTGGTTTTTCTGGTACCCATAAGTTAGCTTTTGGAAGGAGGAAGCCCTGACACATAGATGGTCATGCATAACCACGCTTTAGCTATGCTAGGATCCCATAAAAATTCAGTAACATTCATGATTCAGATGATATAAATTGTTGTGCCATTAAATTTTAATATATCTTATTTAATTTATGTTTGTATGTGTATGAGAGGGAAAGAGAGAAAGAGGGAGAGAGAAAAGTCTCTTTGTCTCTCTAAGATGATTTCATTGAAATTAAACTTTCTCTTTGCAAACTAGTTCTTCACATTTTTTCCCTCATGACTTCCAATTCATTATTTGGATTTAGGTTTTGAGGATTCTTAAACTCTAAAAAATAACTGTCACTGGTGTTCTTAAGTTCTTAAAATTACTCTTATTTAATTGTAAAAAAGCCCCAGATAGTTGTAAGTTACCCAAGATGGTTGTATAGATGTATTTCCTAAATTTATCTATGGAAGAAATAAAATCTCTCCTTCAGGTAGATCAAGAATATATTTAATAAAAGTTGTCTTGAAAATTATTTTTAATTTTTTCGGTCTTAGTTGAGTAGTGAATATTTTAGCTTTGATCTTAAATGCCTAAAATTCATCAGTTAGCTCTTATGGGAGCATGTTCTTACAGGATAATTAAGATTGCTATGGGACTGTACAATGACTTTATATATATTTAATTTTAAGACTTAATACCACCCATAAAATATTGAGTAAGCAGAAATTTCAAATAAATAGTATCTTTTCTTGCCTCATGTTGTTCTTTCTGCCTTGAATGCTATTCCACCACTTCTTTTTGCACGTTTTGATACTCTGCCTACGTATCAGCTTCAGTGAAACTTCTTAGAGAAGAGGCTTTTGATGCTGCAGATGTGTCTGGGTTCCTCTTATCTCCTCCTGAAGACCCAATTTCCTCACTACTAGCAGTTACCACAACTGTAATACATCTCTTACCTCTGCCTGGCATGCTGCCACAGTACTGTGCAATGTTCATATGGTTTTCTTGAGGAAAATATGAAATCCATAGTAATACAGAAAGATAAAATTGCTGGTGAAACCATATTTATGTAAAGGGTATTAAATAGGGAACTTGCAGTTTATTTTGCAGTTGAAAAGTAGTCGTAGAGTTTTAGACCGGCATACCCGCATACAGACTTTGCAACAGAGAGGCACTTATTGCACTAGATCCCAGTTTGCTCAGCTATCCAGTCACGGTAGGCTGTCACACGAGTGTACACTCCTGGCTTATCTGCCAGACCACATTGTTCCCCCCAGCTCACTATCCCCACGAGGAACCAGAGCCGCCGTGTGTCCTGTTGTACCAGCGGGCCACCAGAATCACCCTGAAGAAACAGAAACAGAATAATGATTTCAGTGTGAAGACAACACCAAAGCGTTAAGGAGTTTATTTTTTATGGCAGTGGAAGCAGTCATAGCCATTATGACAGTACAGTTAGTCTGACATTACCTGGTAAGATACTATACCAAGTCATGTGAAAATCACCAAACTTTTCCAAGAACACACATTCCTTCAGCAAGTGTGAGAAGATGAGGGGCACATTTCCCAGGCTCCTTCAGTTGCTTGGTTGATGCCGCTCAGCACAAGCTTTATCTCCCTTAGGAAGCCTTCCTGAACACCTGTGCCTTCCCTCCCCACTGCCAACCCTTCCACCTTTGGGCTGGATTAGTTTGTCATGGCCTGTGTTCCTATATCCCGTGTGTATCTTTTTCACCGCTTCATCATGGTTTTACACAAGCACATTCGTGTGCCTGTTTGAACTTTCTCCCACTGGGTCAGTTCCTCTCATTGTGGCAGCTGCACATCTCTGCAACCCTCCTTGCATTTTCATGATACTTGTTCAGTGTCTGCTTTTCTGGTCATTCTGTAAAGTCCATCAGGGGAAGGGGCCCACCCTATTCCAGGCACTGCTGTATTCAGCCCATAGTAGATGCTAAGAAAACATTTGTTGAATGAGTTTTTAGAAGTCTCACTTATCCTTCTATTCATAGTACTCTCCCTGCATGGTGTCATTAAAATTTTTTATTTTTTATCAGACATATGTCGTAGCAATATCTTTACTGATACAGCTCCTAGGGCAATGGAAACTAAGGAGAAAATAAACAAATGGGACTCCATTAAAATAAAAAGCTTCTGCACAGCAAAAGAAACCATCAACAAAACAAAACAACAAGAAAGCCCATGGCATGGGAGAACATATTTGCCAATGTTATATCCGAAAAGGGCCTAGTCTCCAAAATTTATAGGGAACTCATACATCTTAAAAGAAAGATAAACAACCCAATCAAAAAATGAGCAAAGAACTTAAATAGACACTTTTCGAAAGTGATCATACAAAAGGCCGAGAGACATATGAAAATATGCTCTAAGTCACTAATTATCTGAGCGATGCAGTTCAAAATGACAATGAGGTACCATCTCACACCTGTCAGAATGGCTATCATCAACAAATTGACAAACGACAAGTGCTGGCGAGGATGTGGAGAAAAAGGAACCCTTGTGCACTGATGGTGGGAATGCAGACTTGTGCAACCACTGTGGAAAACAGTATGCAGTTTCCTCAAAAAATTAAAAATGGAACTCCCATTTGACCTAGTAATTCCACTTCTAGGAATATATCCCAAGAAATCAGAAACACCAATCAGAAAGGACATATGCGCCCCTATGTTCACAGCAGCACAATTTACAATAGCTAAGATTTGGAAACAGCCTAAGTGCCCATCAGCAGATGAGTGGATTAAAAAACTGTGGTACGTCTACACAATGGAATACTACACTACTATAAAAAAGAAGGGACTTTTACCATTTGCAACAGCATAGATGGAACTGGAGAGCATTATGCTAAGTGAAATAAGCCAGTTGGAGAAAGACAAATATCACATGATCTCACTCATTTGTGGAATTTAATGAACAAAAATAGAGCCAGAGACATAGAAGCATTGAACAGACCATCAAACTTCAGTGGGAAGGCAGGGGAGGCAGGGGGGTGGGGTGGGGTAAGAGGTCAATCAAAGGACTTGTATGCATGCATATAAGCATAACCAATGGACACAGACAATAGGGGTGGTGAGGGCATGTGCTAGGGGGTGGGAGTGGCTGGGGAGAGGTCAATGGGGGGAAAAGGAGACATATGTAATACTATCTGTAATACTTAAAAAAAAGAAAAAAAAAGAAAGGGGATTCCACTGTGTGAGAGAACATATTTGGCAATAATACATCTGATAAGGGGTTAATCTACAAAATATATATACTCATACAACTTACCAAAGGAAAACAAAAAATCAAATTAAAAAATGGCAAAGACCTAAATAGACACTTCTCCAAAGTGGACATACAGATGGCCAAGAGACATATGAAAAAAATGCTCAACATCACTAATCATCATAGAGACCTAAATTAAAACAATGAGATATCAACTCACACCTATCTAAATGTCTAGAATCAACAAATCAACAAATGACAAGTCCTGTGAGGGTGTGGAGAAAAGAGAACCCTAGTACACAGTTGATGGGAATGCAGACTGGTGTAGCCACTATGGAAAACAGCATGGAGTTTCCTCAAAAATTAAAAATGGAACTTCCATTTGACCCAGTGATCCCACTTCTAGGAATATGTCCTAAGAAACCTGAATCACCAATCAGAAAGAATATATGCATTCCCATGTTCATAGCAAGACTATTCACCATAGCTAAGATCTGGAAATAGCCCAAGTAGATGAGTGGTTAAAAAGGCTGTGGTACATCCTATATAATAAAAGGCTAATATGCAAATCAATCATACAGCAGAACGACTGGTTGCTATGATGTGCAATGACCACCAGGGGCAGATGCTCAACGCAGGAGCTGCCCCCTGGTGGTCAGTGTGCTCCCACAGGGGGAGCACTGTTCAGCCAGAAGCTGAACTCACCTCTGGTGAGCGCAGCCAAGGTGGCTGGAGCCTATCCCGCCACTAAGGATGTCTGACTGCCAGCTTAGTCCCGCTCCCACTGAGAAGTGGGCCTAAGCCATCAGTCAGATATTCCCTGAGGGCTCCCGGACTACAGAGG